AATGACAAATGCTGCTTTAAAAGACACGAGGCTAACAAATGATGTTAGAAAAGAGAACAGGAAGAGGCTCTAAAGATGAGGTCAGAGATAGCTGCAAGCTCTAATTTCCAGCTTTGCTTACAACTGAAATTGTACCTTGTTTTATAAAAGTAAACGTCATTTTTTTGTGTAGAAAATTCTTCTAAACAAACCTCTAAAATTGTATCTTATTAAGTAAAAAAATTCCCCTAAAATTCTCTTTTATTTAAACTTTTCTACTTCTAATGCTGCTTAAATAGTCCCATATAAAAATTAATTATTTAATAGAAATTTTTGAGGTGTATTAAAGAGATTATCCTTCTGAAAGGATCCTATGTCCTATGAAGCAAATTTATGTTAATCCTTGTAAAACTGTGCAGCCTATTGATTTCAAAAGGGTGTTATTTATTACAAATATATGCTGATCCCTATAAATTTTAACTAGTCTTATACAGGAGGATTTAATAATATAATAGGGGGTTTAATAATGTAAAGGTAGTAAAGAAAATTATATTTCTACACATATTTTAGCTATTTTTGGCACTTTGTTAGTTAAAAAACGTTCTAATTTGTTAAGGATTTTAATTAAAATTAGCTAAAATTGCTCACAATTCAGGAAATATTCATTTAAAACACCTTTAATCAATACTGAAGCAAAAGAAGTGTCGTAAATTTCTTAAGAGGTTTGGGTGTTTGCCTGTCAAAGAACATGAAAATGAAGTGGCTCTCTTGTCTTTCTGCATAAGGTAAGGATTTCAATCATTGCCTATAGGGTCACTAATCATCCGTAGAAGAAGAAGATATCAATAGTTAATCGGCACCACCTCCCATTTGATATCTGCTACATGATCTTTGACGTAGAGGCCAACGGAAGCCATGTTACATCCTTCCTTCCAACATTATTTACAAACAGGTTTTTCTGGTGATTACCTCAGGCATTTTTCAACTAGAATCAAATTTCAAAAGCCCTTTTACACATCCATTTGAATGGTTCCTCTTCTGCTCAATTGGAAAGGTGAGAAATCTTGTTTGTAGTGGAACCTTCTTACCATTCTGACATTACAAAAGTGGGTTTTGGAGTGAAAAATGAAGGAAAATATTGAGAAATTACTCTGTAGGAAAGAAACTCTTCATTCTGTAGGAAGGAAGATAAAAACTGAACTAAATAATTCTGCTTAATTGAATGATGTCAACTCTTCTTGGCCACTCTCTTGTAGAGGAGCCTTCGTACCATTCTTACAAAGATGTGTTTTGGAATGTGAAAAATGAAGGAAATTGACGAGAATTTGCTCTGTAGGAAAGGAAATTCTTCATTTTGTAGAAAGGAAACTAAAATTAATTAAATAATTCCATTTAAGCGGCTCTTCTGATCAATTGGAAGGATGAGAAATCTTCTTGTTTGTATTGGAGCCTTCCTACCATTCTGACGTAAAAAAGTGGGTTTTGGGATGTGAAAAATAAAGGAAACTGTTGAGAATTCACTCTGTTGGAAAGGAAACTCTTCACTCTGCAGGAAGGAAGCTGTAAAATGAATTAAATAATTTAATACAACGTTAACAGAAATGTATTGCTTGGTCATATCGTGACAAGTGGATGTATCCATTAAGTCATGAGCCGTAAAATGCTTTACAAGTATCCTTCTAAGTAGAATGGCGTGAATTAAACGACTGGCTCTAATAGAAGGCATAGTTTACGATTATTCGTGACAAATTAACCATAGAATGAGGTGCGTAAATTATTTAAATGCGTGTTTAATTTACTACTTATTATTATGTGATACACGCTTATATTATGCGATATAACTATAAAAATTGAGAATTTATTATAAAGAACTCTAATAAAAATTATAGAAGACACTCAAATTTCTCTAAAAAATTATAATTTTGCGTGTTTTCTCTTCTAAAAATCGCACAATACAGCTTAAATGTTTATACATATATGTTAACTCCAGTGGTGTATCCACAAAAACACTCTTAATTTAACTACAAGAATTACGAATTAATTCTAAAAATACAAATTAGAATTTAGAAAACACTCAAATCTTTCTAAAAAATTTAAATTTAGAGCATTTATTCATCTAAAAATCACACAAAGCACAGAATTCTTCATACATTACGTTCACTCCCATTAAGCGATTTAATTTATAATAATCAAGAATTAATTGTGAAAAAAAACATCGCTAAGAATTAAAAATGCAGTTAAACCTGTGTAAAAAGTAGAAAATTTTGTATAATTCAAGCATTAAAAAGTCCCTAAACACAATGGAGAACTTACCACGAGCGACAATGGGAATGGTAGAAATCCACTTAGTCATTGACCCTTATGTATAATAGGTAAACAGAAAGTGTCCAGGTGTTTTAAAATTTTTGCTTTTTCTCTAAACTTGTCAGACTTGTCATGTAAAAGAAGGAGAAGGGCCTTGTTCATGTTGTCCACCCGTCCGCATAATAACCCATCAAGAGAGACGCGTTGACAGGAAAATTAGAAGTATTTTATTAGTTAGAACCTCCCCATAAGCGACTATTATAGATAATAACAGAGAGAAGAGGAATTAATGTAAAGCATTTCATGTCCCTTCAAATGATTAAGAGTCGAAACTGGTTATGAGGGACGTAATTATTTTGGAAAGAATGTCGACTCGTGTAATAATTTCTCCAGTTGTTTAATAAGTTAAGTCATCCCCCTGCATCCTCCAGCATCTTCTAGAGTTTGGAGGGTCGTAGTTTAATATTTGGGGGAAGAGAGGTCGTAGTTAAGCGCGATCTTTACCGAATGTTATAAATTGTTAAGATGTATTTAAAAAGAAAACAATGGCTCCACTAGAGAGATAAGGATGCTAGAAAACAGAGCCAGAGTGGATATATATCTAGGAAACGATCTCTGTCCTTCTTCTAATGTAATTGTAGAGTCAAACATGCGTCAACAAGAGAACGAGAAGCACAGTAGGAAGAAGAATCTATTGTAAACATCGAAGGACCCACTATGTCGCCGTTAGGGCCATCTGGGTCTCACATAAAACCCTCATTTTTAGGAAACGTTGCCGGGAGTCGGATTATCGCCCGGTGCCATCTCTGGTCCCTCTATTCAACCACCTGCGGCTATCAGGGGGCCTGTCACGTGCACTTCCCCCTTTTTAGACGGACAAACGTCTGGTCCTGGATCATTGTTTGTGCTCTACAAATGTCTGACTTCTGGACATTTAACAGGCTGCACAATCTAATTAGGGTGCGAGTCTTTTGTTTCCGAGTTGCTCTTCACCATCTTTTTGGGGGGAGGCATCCGAGTGACGTGTGGCAGATGGCAAATTGCTACTACCCCCTGATAGCTTTAATCCGTTAAAAGAGGTCATATCTGAACCCACCTCTGTTTATGCTTTTGCTCGATTTTTGAAAGGTGAAAGAGGGCATTTTAAGTGGCTCGAGTTTTGGTTAATCTTTATCTTGTAAAAAGGTTTTTATTCTTGAATAAAATTGGGTTTAAGTAAGGTTAAGTAGGTGGCTGTAAAGTGCCTTATTCGCCTTACACGAATATTATCTAAAGAATTTTTAACGGCTAAGTTCATTTTTCACGTTTTAAATCTCCATTATGAGGCTTATGAATATTGAAAAGAGGGTAGAGGCCCACTCTTATTGAGTTTTTAACGTCTTAATGGTCGAACTTATTAGCATTAAATCATGCCTAGACTATTAAGCATCATTTATTATGGTGAACGGCTTCATTAAATCGTTAAAATTGCCAAAAAATTGAATCGTTCTTCGATGAAATATTCGGGAGAGGAGCAGATTTGAGAACCATTTCCGTCTTAGAAATTGGAATTTTGGCAATGTTATTCATATTCTGACTCGTTACATGCAAACGTCTCGTTATAACGTTTCCAACGGCAGTGTTTTAATATTAAAATTTTGAAAATTGGGGATCGTGTATGGACTATAATACAGTAAAATAACATTTTGTTTCCTCCCATTTTAATCTTGATGCAAATTACACTTATGGCTTGTACTTAAACAATACAAATTCTGAATACGAATCTTAACATTCCAACCGGAATGGGTGGATTTTTCTAAAATTATGTTAGACTATTTAGCAATTAAATGGGTGAAGTACAGTCGTGTTGAAGCCCTAATTGTCTTCGAGACTTGAAAAAAAAATTCACGCTATGGTTACGCTCTTTGCATATCTAAACTATGCAGTTTAGGTCACTTTATGGTTAGTTTAACCACATTTTTATCAAGAAAATTAGTTTATAACATACTTAAATATGTTAATAATTGTGCACTGCTCGATCACTCAACTCTTCCGGAAGTCTGAAGACTTTTGAGCAGTTGATTAGGTTCTCAACAAACTGCACCCCCATGAAGTCCAACTGTTGCATTCAATCCATTTTTACCATATAAATCTTAACTGAAACACATTTTTATCAATATCAACCAATAAAGTCAACCTAAAACACATTTAAATATGTTAGGAAGTGGGTATTAAGTGCTCAATCACTCAACTCTTCTCGAAGTCTGAAGACTTTTGTGAAGCTTCTTAAACAATTACACCTTATAAAGATGCCAATTGTTTTTTTAATCACATTTAAGCAATACGAACACCACGTAAACATTAACCAAAGCACATTTTAATCATTATTAATCAAGAAAATTAGTCTAAAACACATTTAAAAATGCTAAAAAGTGTGTTGCAACTCACACAATTCCCATTTAAATCAGATGACTTTAGCGCAGTTCTTACCAAACTGCACCCTTCCGAAGACACCGACCGTTGCTTTTAATCACATTTTAAGAGGTTTATACCTCATAAACCTTAACTTAAAGGTGATATACAAAGCAGCTCTTCAAGTAAGACCACGACTAGAAAAAACGTATGTACAATTGAGGGCCTCTACATGAATCTGACCCCAATTGTCCAAAAGATTAATTGCAAGTTATTAAGTTGCTGTGATCAGTCAAAGTAACCTTTTTTTTTATTTTTGATTTCAGAATGCGCCGGATCCTTGGAGGGGGATAACACAAACGAGCCCTTACTATTACGATTCGACGTTGGCTGCTTACGGGTAAGTCGTGATAAGCACTTTCTTACAACAGTCCTACATCTCAATTTATACAGGATATTGTTTGTTATTGTCAGTAGTGAAATGATTTTATTCAGAGTAATGAAGATAAATAGCCTGCAGAGGTATATCTTAAATTAGAGGGGGTTTATTATAATTTAAAATCACATTTATCTCTTCATCTCTAGTAATTGATCTTCTACTTATCATAAAGTTGTCGTGAAAGTTAATAATAGGCATAACCCGGTTTAAGAACCTCATTCCTAGCTTTAAATAAGTTAAATTTATATATATATATTTTTTTTAAGTTAGAAAATACGTTAAATTTTCTTATCACTAAGGCCTTTTAGGCCTTAAAAAATCAATAAAATCCATTAAGATATTGACTTTATCTGTTTGATTGGCGATAAGTTAACAGATAAAAGTCCTTCTTTGATGTTTATCTGCTTTGTTTCTCTACCCCCAAATACAAAATTTTGGCAGTTTTTCGTGTGTGTGCGCCACTTTAGTGTATATTTTTTTTACAATTTTTAACATTTTGACATACTTTTTAACGTTTAAACATCGAGATATAGGGCCTAGTTGCAGGTGCGTATCACGAATTAGCACTTAGTTGGGTAGGTTACATATTTTGCGATTTATCATTTACCTGTATATGGCATATCATCATTTAGATGTTTATCGTCGTCTAGGCAATAGCCTACGTGAATTCCAAATGGCATCTACACGCATATTAATCAGCAAGTAGATGCATATCGTAACGTCTATAGCATCCATCTGCTCGTCTATGCTAACATCTGTCTACGTTACAGGTTTACATACAGGATTTGCCTACTCAATAAACATTAATAACCACGCGAGCTACTAGTGTTTACCTTAAAAAAACCTGAATTTAGTTACTCGGATACGCTAGCATCTCATGTCTTCCTATACGTAGATGTTCCTACATCATCAACTATGTTACTAATACAGGAAATTTGCATACATTTTATCACGTATGCTAATTAGGAACTGAAAATCATACAGATAAATCTTTAACATGTATTTACTCCTATAGATTTGTATCGATCATACACGTCTACAGCATCAAAAATATAGTGGCAATTAGTGTATAATTGCATATTAACGCTATAAATTAGCATATATATCCTTAGACATACATCAAATACTAGATTAAACTGTAAATCTTGAGAATAACACTAGAAGTAAGTAGTTAAACTCACTCCTCTCCCACTCAGAGCGTGTATAAATCACACAGAAATCTAAATTTGAACAAAATTCTTCAGTTAAATTATTAAAATTTGCATCCATTCCACGGAAAACACCGCGGGGTAGGGTTATTATACCACATTATCAGATAAGGGAGAGCATAAAAAACCGATCATGTTCTACACCTCCTTTTAAGCGACCATCTCAATTCTTAACAAAAATCGAGTCGTATCTGCATTAGAAAACAAACAAGTATCTAATTAAAGTTTAAATTCCAATTAATCAAGTGTAGAGAAGAGGATGTTTTGTGTTGTTAAGTGTATACAGACACACATACGTACATATAAAAATGTTTTTTTTTTAATTATTTTTTTTTGTTCCTCACAAAAATCATACAAGTTGCGTTCCCTCACGAACATACATTTTATATCAGCCGTAAATTAAGACGGGGTGGAAGTGCGTGACGTAGAAAAGCTAGCAAAAGTAGCTACATCCGTGCCAGGTGCAGTAGAGAAGAAGTTAAGTCTACTTAAGATTGGCAAGATGATATCACGCGAATGTCTTTTTTTCCGAATTAGGACATACGTACTTAACATTGATCATAAAATATACAGTTTCCCCCTCTTCGAGTCCCCATTTTAACTTAATTCACACAAAAATCTACTTACTTCTCCCCCCTTCCTTACACAGAAATACGTTCGCTTAGCGACTAATTTTCCGAACATAATTTTTATTTTTGTCTTATTAATCACTTTTAATGTGTAATGTTGGGAATTTTTTTTAATTTTATTGGACTTTTAACTGTTTTAATAGTATTTTTAAAGAGGAGATTAACGTTACTTAATGTTTTCTACCTCATCTTAAAAAAAAAAAAATGTTACTTTGTCACAGAAAATAAATCCTCTTTCGGGGATTTTTTGGGGAATTTATGAAGGAAATTGAAACTTTTATTTTAGCATTTTAACTACTTTAATTATGATTTTTAACGTTATTTTGAGGTAATTCGCTTTAAATTTTTCGTATTAAATTCGCCTCTTGTCAAACTTTCCTTCATTTTAATTTGCGAAATTTAAATATTTAGCAATGAATAAGTTCGTTGTTTAGCTGAAAATTTGAATTTTTCCTCAACAATTTCGTATATTTTAATGCTAAAAGGGATTTTCTGTACTTTTTTTTCGGCTTAAAAAATTCATTTTTTCGTTACAAACAATTATAAAATAATTTAAAAATTACAATATTTGATTATTTTTCATTATAATCGACGAAAATTATCGTTAACCTTCCAAAAATCCAATCTGTTTAGGGAAATTTCCGAAACTTCCCTACGTAAATCTAAATTTTTCAGTAAATTGGTAGCAAATTTTTATTGATTATAATAAATTTTTAACTATTTTTTAATTATAATCAACGAAAATTGTTATTAAATTACCAAAAAAATCCAATTTGCGTGGGGAAATTTTCTCAAATTTCCCCTACACAGATTTGAATTTACCAGCAAATTACTAATATTTTTCTATTATAAAAAAGAAACTATTATTAAAGAAAAAAAATAATTAAAATCAGTAATTTTTTTAAAGAATTAAATTTCGATTTTAACGGAATTTTCGGGAAAAATTTGTGAAATTTCTCCTTTTGTGTGGGGAAATTTCGCATATTTCCCTACACGAGAAATACTTCCGCATTCCGATTTATCATTACAAAACATGATTGCCTGGGGGATAGAATAACATCTTGATACACCGTCGATACCAATTATCCCGCTTATAACGCTAGGGAAAAGCGTTAATGCGAGAGTTTAAACTGGAGGAAGGTACGGTTAACGACACAACTTTTGTAACTTTTAACTTAAAGTAGGGTATTAAAAGGGGGGTTATAAATCATGTTTTGTTTATTGAGCGTAAGCAAGGATCAGGTTTTATGATCCAAAGAAAAATTGAAGAGAATAGATCCAGAAATAATGAAGAATCGATGTTTTAATTAACGACGTTCGTTGATTCGTAAATAATTAAACTTTATGTACTTTTAATACCCTTCGTCTAGTGTGTTTTTTTCACTAGGAAATTAATGTTTAGATAAATATTTTAAATCTTTCATCAATCAAACAGTTCGAACTCTTAGAAAAATCATTAACAAACTGGTCTAAGCGCTTAAAATTCGTGTTGTAAAGTGGATTTTTATAGTTTAAGCCCTAGTACCTAGCACCACTCGACATCTGGAAGCGTGTTGTCTCACCCCCAAACAATAATCTCTTACTTTGCAATTAACTTAGGTTGTTTGGTCCTTTCTATACTCCCAATTCTACTCTTCACCCCTCTACACGCGACTAGAGTGAGTAGTTAAGCATCGTTTTTCTTGTTGACACCTGCAGGAGCTTCATCTCCGCCTGGGGGATGTTAGAAATGAAGAGGCATTACTCTTTCGCGTGGCTATTCTCTTGCCAAAATTAAGTCTTAACCTTGATCTGTACATTTACGTGGTTGAGTATTTATAAAAATGGAATTTATAATTTTAATATTTACGATTTGTACCGTCTTGTGAGACGAGGGAGGAGTTAGAACTTTAGAATTGTTTAAGGGAAATTAAACCGATTTTTTAGTTGTAAAATGGCTTAATTTTCTTCTAATTTAGTCAATGTGTCAGTTGGGTCTTTAGTAAATTAGAAAGTACTTATCTGGATCAACTTGATCCTTAAAACTATATGGATTTTCAGTAGAAAAGAAATCCAGATAAGTATGGTTCTTAATGGAAGTGCTTACAGATAAGCTTGATTCTCAGTGGAAGAGGCATTAAAATATGCTTGACTCTTAAAGAAAGAGGCATCTAGATCATTCGATCTATGAAAACTGTAATTTGGATCAAATTGATCACGAATGATACAGAAATCCTGCATGATATATTAGCTCCTTTCAAATTGATCCCCGCTCAAATATTGACTTAGATTATTTTGAATGTAAATTTTAGTTCCGGGACAAATTTAATTTCCGAAAAATGTAAAAATTTTGATAAATTCGAATCTAAAACAACTCTAGATCAAGAAAATTAAGCCGAAATCAAGCTTGAAGTGAAGAATTGGATTGGATTGATAGAAGCAACGTAATACCTAAGCGATCATCAAACAGGTTGCACCTTATTTGCCGACCACCCAAGTATTACGTTGCCCATATTTAAGTGCTAGACACGTAAAGAAAACCGAGAAAACTCCACTTGATCAGGTGCGAACCCGCGACCAAGAAACCAGAATATTCAATGATTTTATCCATTCGAGTCTCTTTGAAATGAAGATCAAGAGAAAACACTTCAGAGAATTTCAAAAAAATGATGATTTTTAACAAATAAAATTGTATTAAATTAATAAATGACTATAAAAAATGATAAAAACTGTGCTATTTACATAAAACAGACAAATAATTATATTATTCCTCAAACCAGAAAAGACTTGGAAGTTAATAAAATGGCATGGAAATACGCGCGTACACGTGTATACAGATGTTAGAACAAACAAAGATTTAAAAAGCAATTAAAACAAAAGCTAAAATAGTCGTTACGTACAGCTGAAGGATTTAATGATGCAGATGGTTAATAATTAAAGGTTAGTACAGTAAGGCTTTGTTTCGTGCACGTTTGGTGCCACTAAACAATGTTTAATCTGATTAATGAACTAAGAAATAAAGTTATTTCTGATACAAGTTTAATAAATATTATTTTATAATTAAAATATTTATTAGCCTCGTTAATATTTTCTCTACTCCTTTGATGTGGATTCGTGCTTCTTCATTCCTCAAGCTGAAGCATCCTTCAATTATTCAAAATAATGCTTGAGGAATGCTTCAGGCTTCGTGTTTTAGTATTATTTATCGTATTTTTCATTAATATTTCTTTATTTTCAATTTTTTGTTCTTATTGGGGAGCTTAAAGATAGGTGTTTGATGTCTTTTTTATGGTGGGGATTTCTGCAACTTGTGCTTGTTGAGTTGGGAGATTTCCTTCTTATGAGATAGTTTAAAGCCTGTTGTGCCTTTATTTAGCATTATATAAACATAAAAACAGTAAATTAGGGAAGTTATAACTCCTGTAAGGATGCTTATGTGTTTAGAAATCGTAGGGAATTGCAGAGTAAAAGAATATGGCTCTAGAAAGTAAGGACAGGCTGATAGATGTATAAATTAACTTGTGTACATGTAGTAATCGGTCTCTTAATCTATATAACATTCTAAATCATTTATTGAGGTCCTGAATACTAAAATAATTCCAAAAAATAAGTCTAATTTTTGCACCAGAATGCGGCTTATACTTGAATTTTAGTTAAATTTTGCAGATTTTTAAAACTTTTTTAAATAAATGATGCTTCAAAATGTCGTGGAGCCCTGGCCAGTTACATTATAGGATCCCCAGTCATCTCCTAAAATCATAATATATATGAATAAAATTAATTTTTATTAAATATCAAGAGAAAACCAATTTATATCACCTTAGTGTTGTGAAGTACGAGGTCTTTCTATCTTCTGAACCCGAACCAAATAGCCTCACTATATGAAAATACATTCAAAATATTATTTCATTTTTATATTTTTAAAATATGAAGATTTTATTATGTGCTTTATAATTAAATTTAAAAAATCTTGTTTATTTAAATGATCAAGATGCAAGAGATGCAGAAGATGAAGTCATAAAACATGACTATAACTTTGATGAGGATGTATAAAATATAATTAAATAAAAAAAGTAGATCTATTAAAATTTTTTAGTTTAAAATATTAAATACTAATTAAATTAAAATTTTTAATACTAAAAGTTTATATGTTTTAAATATTATTTACTTTAATTTTGATATATCTAAATCATGCCAGATAATGATAATGCATAAAAATTTTATTGCCTACACTAAAATAAATCAAGATAAAAGCTTGTTACGACAAAATATGGCTTACTTATACGCTTTATTTATATAAATATACTATATTTTACCTATTTTTTGAGCGTATAAGCTTGAAAAATGTCTTAATTCTGCTATAAGTAACCGCCCAAAACACAGGTTTCGAGTTAAGATACGAGCCTTTTATTGATGTAAATTTTGATTTAAGAGGGTGAAGATGTTTGTAATTCGAAAGAAAAACGTTTAAAATATGTTTTAAATTTATAAATTCAACATTTAAAAAAGTTTTAGCGGAAAAAAATCATGTAGAAGCGGATATTGCATCACAGACAGATGTTGGAACGTGGAGGATAAAAAGGTCATAAAATATTGAATGGGAGGATCATAAAAGTAAATATCTGGCGTACTTCTTCCCTGTAATCATTTCCTAACTGATAGATATTCATAAAAATCTGATATTGTAATTTACAGGATGCTTACAAGATGACCGGATACCTGATCCAAAAATGGCATTCTCTTACCTATAATAAAGGTTCCTTGCATGGTCAAGCAGCAATTAATTATATAATCTGATTAGGTACCAGGAAATTAATTTAGTTCCTCTTCTAGTTGACCTTTCATCTTTCAAATTAACTGCGTTCTATAAGCTTAAAACCGCCACAATTAGTAAGGCGAATAAGGTTTATATATGCTTGATTTTTCATGGGTTAATTCATCCGTGATGTCTCCCCTCAAGAAAATTATGGGATTGGTAGTAAAAGACATAAAATCAAGGGACCGTATCTGAATATACGTGACACGACTGTGCAAACGTGGGTCAATAATGAAGAGAGGAAATAGTCGCAGGAGAAGCGTGTATAAGTAATTGTTGCGCGATCTTTCACATCGCAACCTTCTGTTATAAGGAGGAAGGGGTTGAACAATTTTATACCCTTAAATCCATTGTATTATGCCTGTTAATAATGGGTTAGTAGGTAAAGTTTCAGGCCCATTGTCGCCCTTTTCTATTAAGTTTTCTTGGTTATACTCCACCACACCTCTCATAATTTTTATACTTACCTTAATTGATACTAGCCAAACTAATTAAGGTATGACTCTGAAATTTTGTTTTTCGTCTTCCTGATATACAAATTATATTATATACTTTTATTTAGTTATGGAGGGTTGGATTTGAACGGCTCCAGGAGGAAAAATGTAACCAGAGATTCGACTAGTACACTGAAAGCATGGTTAAACGAACACAGGAAGAATCCCTACCCTACCAAAGGGGAGAAGATCATGCTGGCTATCATCACAAAAATGACACTGACTCAAGTCTCCACCTGGTTTGCCAATGCCAGGAGGAGATTGAAAAAAGAAAACAAGATGACTTGGGAACCGAGAAATAAGGCTGAGGATGATGCTGATGGTGCAGCTGATAGGGATACTGACGATGATCAGTTGGAAGGTGATTCTCCACGCATTAACAGCACTGAAGATGGCATCAGAAGAAATCGAGACTGCTCCGAAAGTGCAGCTGACACCCTCCAGATGGATATTCTAAATGGTAAGTGTTTAACATCTTTAAACTGCTGCGTGACGTTTAAAGTCGCATAAAATATAATTTCGATTGGTAAATTGGTTAGTTTCCTTTCCAAATTAAATAATTTACTAGCGAATTATAAGAATTACAAGTATTAATGAAGAGAAGATTCTTTTGCTGTTGAAAATCTGGTGATTTCTCCTTTCTCTAACAGCAAATTCGAGCTGTCTAGTTGTTTCCCAGATCGATATATATCCACAACTCTGTCTTGTATGACAAATAAGAAAGAGACACTATACAGGGTTTTCATTTGCATGTAAATGAGAACGGTGTAATTCGAAGTGTCCACTCTTGTCTTTGCGACTTCAGGCGTGGAAATGTTGCTTTGCTTGTTTGTTGTTTGTCCGCTCCAAGCTTCGGAATTGTCGACAATGTAAGAATAATTAAACGTTTAAAGTTTATTTAATCGATAATTTCGTGTAACTCTTCCTGCTCTTAAGCGTATTCATTATTTAGATGCACTTTTTAAACAGAATTTCTGGTTAATAATCTTACACCCTCCCTCTTCTTCGTGGATCGTATCTAATTTTGGCTTACTCTTATTGAAAATTTATTGTTTTCTCGTTAATTTATCCACATTTTTTTCAGATGGAGATGCCGGAAGATTGGATCACATGACTGACGATCACACTTATCCATCTTCTGTAGAACCCGCATGTGGAGTTTCATTGTCATGCCCGGAGTTAAAGGACGAACACGATTCGGGTTACAGTGGAGAAACTCGAACCCAGACCCTACCCGGACTTCAATCGTTAATGGAATCATCGGTCAAGACAGAGGAACAGATGACTAGCAAGCCCAAAATTTGGTCGTTGGCGGATACGGCGACTAGCAAAAGTCCGCCACCCACCTCGGCTCACGTTGGAGCCTCAAGTTATTGCGGTGACTCCATAAGTGATTCCACTCTGACGGGTGGTCATTGTGGTTGGTTTTCGGCACCCACCTACTCGACAGGTACACCCACAACAGGTGGACATTATCAAACAGGTGGTGGCAGCTTCGTACACGGATTCAGCCCCATTCCACCTCAGACCGATACTCCACCTCAGACACCACCAAGCATGAAACTGCACCACGGTTCCGGATATTTAACAAGTCAGCAGGGTTCCCATCTGTACACCTCATCGGGGATCTGTGCCGGAAATCATATTGTTTCGGGACAAGGTAAAAATTCTTCTGCTCTATATATATCTTTTTAAATGTCTTGTTTACTTCTTCTGCTTCTTCTTACACAACCGAACCACTTCTGCAGCATGCCAGATATACATTTTTTTTTCTTTTTTAATCAAAAAGCCGCAGTTTTTCAATTAAAACGTCATTATCGAACCGATAAGAATTTGGCCCTAGGCGATTATAGGATAAGATTTTTTGCTTAGTAGATCATACCATATCTTTACGCCCCTTTTACAGAGGTAACTTCTGCATGACCCTCCCACTATACTTTATCGCCACCTGTCAACTTGCAGCATAGTTCGACTCCATCTTGATTGACCTTTGACATTAGAAAAATCTGCGATGACGGTCACGGACTGTACGACAAACAGATTAGACATGTTATCTAACATCCATTAACACAGCATTAGGGATAAACAGCCATGTTTTGATGTTTATACTCACTTTTACTCTACTAAAAGGACGGTAAAAAAAAGAAATTCAAAAGTTCAAATTTCGTTTCTCAATCTTATTCTATCGTCTACTGTGTAGCATCTTCCCTGCGGGGTACGCGTACCACCGGTTGAGAAATTCTGCTAAAGAACGGGCTTACAAGTAGAATTACTCCATTAATTCAAATTATTTGCCATTCTTCGTTAGTGGTTCGTAAATTATAATGATTTACAAGCTTCTTAAACGTAAATACTTAAATATATTTGACGAATTTAAGCTCTTATCTTGTTACAGTTTAGCAACATGTAGGCCTCACTCTTGAAAATTTATCAGCCTCGCCCACACACGAAAGTTGAAAAGAAAAGTTTATCAAATGGGCCCTTCAATGCGGACAGGTTGCACCAAGGACAATGTTACGATTGAGATGTTTATGGACATATTTTTTTCCCTTCCTCCTTACCTTTAAATTTAATCAGAGGGAAGAAGATAAACTCTTTTTTTTTAAAGTGTTATAAAGCCGCTAAAATAAATCAGATTTTATATACTTAATCCTTAAAAAATATGCATTTAGTAGAATTAAAATTGTGTATTTTTTTAAATTTTTTTACAGTTGATAAAAGCTTTTATCATATGAACCACGTGACGGGGTTAGGACGGACGACATCATACAGATCCGAGTGTTTGCTGGACGATTACAGCTCCCACGCGCATTATCGGACTGCTCCAATTCAATAGACTAAAAATAAATACACATAATTATATAAATATTATACATTTTACCATATAAATCACGAAAATATTGAATTTACAACGCACGAAAGATTACCATGCACAACCGTCCATCAGAAGATGCTATGATGAAGATAGGAGGACGGTCCAATTTCACGTTTCCTTTAAAGCATCGTAGAAGGAAAAAAATATTTAAATCATTCAAGCATTTAAAGAAAATATCTATTATTAATAATATTTTATACAATTGATCAGGATCAAAATTGAAAAGTAAAATATAAAGGAAACAAAATTAAAAAAAAAATAAAAAAAATGCCAAAAGTTGTGGGATGTCTGGAATGCTGGAAAGAAGACGGATTTACGCCTCACTCGTACGGACAGTAATCTGAAGACTGACTGCAATTCCTACCCACTGAGAGTGATTTAAAGACAGAAATGATTGGAAGGAGTATTCACGTGATCACTTTGAATTATTTAAGAGAAGTCTCAGTCACTCCTTGACCTTTCAACTTTAAAGAGAAACGACAAAAAAAAACATAATAAAAATATTAAAAAATAAGAAAAAATTACGTATTAATTTGCGAATTTATATATTAATTTAACCTCTTTTTTTCAATCTCGTTTAATATTTTAATAATTCTAACTTTTAAACGATGTATAACGCGCAGTTATGACCGCAACTTTACCAAAGAGATTAACGATTTGGAAACGAATTTTCAGTCTTTTGCGGCGTTAAATCTATTTGGATTTTGTATAAGACACGAGTAGGACCTTCTAAAATTTATATAAAATCATAAAATGTGTGAAGCGAGGGTGGGAAAACGTTAGAAAATCGTCACGAATGAGCCAAATTATCGATGCGGAATCTATACAAATTCGAGTTTAAATCTTCTTTTCATCAATTAATTCTCTTTCTACTTGTTTAAAATTTTTAAAAAAATTGTAAAAAAAAAATTACAAATATCTACCTGTGATAGTTCATCTCACCTAGGAACCCTTTGTAACCTATATTCGGATAATGTAGGGTCAAGGCTTTCACCTCTACTGTACATATGAAGATAAATATAATTATATATATATAAATATAAAGAATATATATATATATATTAGGAGGAGGCACCCTTGTATTTCTACACAGATATGTAAATAATGGAGTGGTACCATTTAATAAATTATGTTCAATTTATACTTGCATTCATTGATCTATGAAACTGTCGCGTCGCATGTTGTCGCGCGGCGCTTCGCTTGCGATTCTCTCTCCATTTGCTTAAATTTTTTTCAATTTTAAACAGCAGTTTTTCGTTAGAAAAATCCTTTATAATTGTTGAAATAAATGTAAATCTTATGAATTTAGTTTTTTTTAATTTAATTTTTATTGTTTTTTCAGTGTGATTTAACGTTGAGTGAGTTTATATTTTTTTGAAAATTATGTGTTAAAAATAAATAATTGATACTTTTATTTGTGTAATATTTAGATATTTTTCTATCGTTGTAATATATAATTTCTTTGATATGAGAAATTATAAAGTGAAAATTTTATATTAAATGTGATATTTTTCTACGCGTCGCTTCGCGTCGCGCACGCGCGCGAATCGATCTCTTATGCCACAAATATATATAATAAACACAAAAAAATAATAATAAATTAAATAATTTTGGTACTTAAAAGAATTTTAAAGCGATAAAATAAAGATTTTAATACAGAATCGAACAAAAAATCCATAAATCTCCATCCATTTCATCCACATCACTTCACTATCATCACTTAAATTTGTGATAAAAATAATGAAAATTTGCGCTAAAAATAAATTATTTTACCACAAAAAAAGTAACGTTTATACTTAAAATTTTCTTAAAAATTTATTTATTAACTAATATTTATAATTTAAAAAATTTGGAATTAAGACTGGAAAAAGGATAAATGTAAAAAAAATATTGATTAAACGTGATAAAATAGTTGCGAAATTGGCCGCAGGATGGCGTCGTTCGTGATGTCGAGCGAATAATCGATTAAAGGGGAGCAATCGAAAGACAACTTATGATTAATTGTTAATTTTAGCAATTAAAATGAAACAAGCAATTTTACGACTGAGTAACAAGAGAAAACCCAAAGTTTCGGAATGAAAATTAATGTTCAAGCTCATTATTGTAATTCTAACTCACTTTACTACCCGCTAATACATTCTCACTCAAGTTAGGCAAGGTTACTATCTCATGCCACCAATACGCTTTGTACACAACCTCATAAAATTAATTCCTGAGTTATTATTACCATAGAACGGCTACGTACGAAATTAAATTACATTACGGAAGGTTTCCCTTCTTAAAAGGAATTAAAATTAAAAATTATTAGTTTATTTTCTAACGCGCCTAGTCTCTTACGATCATCGGGATGCTGAGGAGCAAACGAAGAAAAAGGAGATGTGGCTCGCGAGCTACCACTTGAGGAACATTCTAAAATACATTGGTGCTTACTTTTTTCAAATTTTTAACACGACGATAAGTGAATATGGTCGTATTAAGAAGCAACGATCGGATTAAATGTCATTACACTTAAGAAAAGACTGTCCACCCGGATAATTTATTATCCTTTTGACATTATTTAAATTTCAATCATAGAAAAATTTATAAAAATAAGAGACGAGAAGAAGAAGAAAAAGAGGGGAAAAAAGTAGAAGAATAAATGGAACCGCTCACAAAAGATTTAATAAAATACTTCACATTATCCGCAGGATCTTGTATGAAACTTAGCGATACACTAGACTTATCCAAATACGTTCCGAGAACTCAAAAAATCCGAAAGTTATAAAAAAAGAGGAGTTTTTGGGGGAACAGAAGAGGAAAAGAGGAAATATATATATAAAAAAAGAGTCGAGTGGCTCAACGTGATTAATCATTTTAGTGTTACCATAAACATCCGTTTAAGACGTTCGAGAACTGAATACAAAACAAACCGCCATTTGAATGTGTGGATAATAGCCGAGTTAGCCTCGAGCAAACACAAGGGCTAAAACAATTTTAATACATCATGTAAATTAAGTGAATTTATCATAGCTTTCGAGTATACATCACTAACACACGGTTGCACGTAACGCCTCTTCGGTTTTGAACCCGTAACCATTATTTCTATTGTAAAATCCTGCTCCTTCCCAATTTGCAATTTATTTATATATATATATTTTTTGTTTTCTTCTTCTTCTTCTTCCTCCTCCTTTATCTGTCTCAGCTCTTACAGAATCGCATCCTCTTCCCCCTTCGCTTCCTATCTAAATGATGTTAAACGCTGTAATGTTCTATTAAATAATGGATGGATTCTTCTTTTCTTTCTTCTAACTTGACCTCTTAAGTGGAGGGAGGCCTACTAGTGTTATGTATGTGTGTGTCTCTTTCTATCTTCATATATGCATAGACCAACTAGGGACTAATGGAAGTATTTATGTTTTTATATCCTCAATAAAACATTCATTTCTTACTCGTATTGAGAAGTCTGTCCGGTTGTCTAGCCTAACTGGTCATGAGATTTAATAGTCGATAATCTACTTACAGAAGAATTTCGGTCGAAAATTATATATGAAAAGAAAAAACGCGTATAAAATTTAAATCTGTAAAATTTCCCATAGTTAGATCATGCAAAACATCGCATTCTCATTCAGTTTAAACCGGAATTCGGGCATATATAAATAAATTAAGCCAATCAAAAGTGAAGGATTGTCAATGAGTAACAATGTATCCCGCTTCGCCATTTTAAAATCTATATTTACGATTCTCTCCTTTTTGTTTCTCAGCAGGTGAATCTTGTTTCTACATGAGACTAGCTTTTAATTTATCACCAGATTAAGCTCATGTTGTAACGTACTTTACACACACACACACACCTAAGTTTCTCTACTTAGAACGTGTCTGAAATAAAGAATTTTAATTATAAATTCGATCTAATTCTGTTACGTAGAAGAAAAAAAAATATAAATATTATGCTTGAGAGCCGAATTCTTTCATCCTTGTTAGCGTTATTTTATTTCTAAGCTGTCAGAAAGCAACAAATGGAAATTTGTGAATCATCGTACAGCATCCTTATCGACGTACGTACACAGAAAATGTACTTTAAACAGTCGCCTAATGGATGACAGTTTACTTTGGACAACAGGACTGACGAAGAAGTTGCCAACAGCAACTCAGACGCTATTTGAGATCTTTCTTTGAGAAAGAGGAACCGCTCTAAAACAAACAAACGTAGACGGGAGATGAGCCTTTAGATAAGCAATCCGAGTCGATTTTTTCACGTCTTCAATGCTCTATTTGTAGGTAGAATATTTTTTTTTTCTTTTTAAAACCTCCTTACTTATAGGGCTCATTATATACTAAGCTGCACATTCGCGTGTAATTATATCCCCATTATTCGTATTCATATATACGAGTGATGCTACTTCTCATCTTAAAACAGATAAATGTTGATGATGGATCCGATATTTTGTGGAGGGTATAGAAAGAAAACAGTACAAAATGTTTTACTACCTGAAAAACCCACAGAAGGGGGAACAGCTGCGTCTCGCAAACCCCCCTAATTCTACCTCTGGATCGAGTATCCTAAACGATTTAGGTAACTATAAATAAAGAGAATAAGAATGTAGCTTATGTTAAGTAATAAGGTATAAGTTTCGACTTTAAAAAGCATCTTAGTTAAGTGAAAAACAGCAAAAATTCGAGATGGCCGAACACGTGGAGCAACACAGACACAAAACAAACATTTCCCACCGAGACTCGGCGGGCAGTGGAGACGCACTCACTGTGGGGTCTCCGAGGACCACGATGGGAGCAATTTAGACGAGTGTAACTACGGATTCCTATCTTCGGATTTGGAAAATGATAGTAACGGTATGTTCCCGCATTATCGACTCCTCTACACCCTCATAACTTATTATTTCCCCCTCTTAATTATCCTCACAACAACCTTCTGCAAGACTAAAAAAAATCTTAAAAAAAAAAATAACCTAAAAAATCTTTCAAAATCCTCAGCATCACTTAAGGCTAAAGGCCACTTAAAGCTTCGTATCATGAGAATCTAAAGGTCACTTAAAGTTTCAAGTCTCGAGGATTTTAAGTTACTTAACCTTAAAATCTTTAAGATCTTTAGAGTTTAAAATGACCTTTAGATCCTCAAGATACGAAAGTGACTGAAGATTTCAAAAATTTTAAGGATATTTTGAGACTTCTAATCATGAAATCCTAAGGTTTAAGTGACCTTTACATACCTTAGAATAACTTGAAAAAAAAAAAAAATGGATTTTAATAAACAAGACGTTAACGTTTGTAAAATATATATATATGCTACATAAAGATGTATCATTCAAACTCACGTCCATTGAATGAATTAAGTTAACATTAAAGACTATAAAATGTTTGTTCGATCCTCTTGAAATATATATATATATATATATCATCCAACCATTAGGTATCCGAGAAAGAGAATATAATAATTGACGGGTTTCCTGCAGACTCCTCAAACAGTTCTGCATATATACATATTGTGTATGAGGGTTAAGTGTGATAGATGGAAATTTAATGTAGACCCCCTCTCCGCAGTAATGTGATGAATCAGATAGAGGAGGTTGCAGTGAGTTTCGAGGGAGAAGCTTAAAAAAAACAGAAAAAAAAAATTTAGTTAACAGACAATAGAGGATTAGAGGGATAAAATAAAGATTTAAATTTATTTTTATCGCCATTTTTTTTACCTAATTTACAACCCGATGTTAATTATTTAAAAACTTATTTAAAAAGTTTATTTTATCAAAAATCAAGAAATTTCTAGGATTATATCAATTTCTT